TTTTTAATAGTTAAGTTCATTTTTATCAGACTCCGGCGAATGGATTTCCACAGTCAATGACGCCGTAAATAAAAATTCCCTATTATTCATGAACAAAATCCAAACTTACAAAAAATACATATCCAAACCTATCTATTGAAATCCAAACAACAAATATTAGCTTAAATTAAAGTTATTTTCAAAATGATAAATCGTTTAGTACAAGTATAAATACTATAAATAAATAATTATATCAAGTTTTGATCTCTGATATAAAAACTATTTCCAACATAAGAAAATAAATAACAAGATAGACACTTATTATTATAAACTAGAAACTATATTATAATTTCGTTATTCCTATAAACCTTACTTCACATATAAATAATATTTAACACATTATATATATATATATATAATATTTTCACTTTATCCTCTTGCTACATTCTTTCCATTTCATCATTATTTGATATTATTAAAATAACCCACTAAACCAACAACCGAGAAAAACACAGGGAAACATCAATGATCCCCAGCTCCGCGCTTGTGCGGAGAGTATGCAACTAATATCAATAATAACTTAGATAGTAAGAATGAAAAAGAAAAAAACAGAAGGGGGAAAGGTAGGAGTTGAGTAGAAAGCCTCTCCTTTCCAAGTGAACATAATAATTACGTTTTCAGCCGCTATCTGTTTCTCTTAGGAGTATTTTTTAGTATCAGTTATTAAACATCTATTCTCCAAGCTTAAGTAAATTTTTAGTCTACACATATATTTATTCTGTTTCATTATAAATATTATTTTAATTTTATGTATACAAATTTAAAAATAATTATTTTTACATATTTTTATATAACAATGTAATTTTCTATACATCTAAACATTTTTAATCAACGAAAACATAAATTATATAATAAAATTAATAAATTTTATATTAAAAATGATATTTATCTTGCAACGAAAAAAATTATATATTGTAATTTAATATGAAACTGAAGTATTATTATCATTGCCCTTTGTCTCAAAAACCTATTAAATATAGCATGAGACACTTTCCTCTCCCCATATTTTTAGTTTTTTTTTTCATTTTGGCTTTTAGTTAATATAATATTTAAAACATATTATTTTTCAGTAAAGATTTCTGTAATATTTTACAACTTAAGTCAACAATGTAACTACGACATTGTGAATATTGTGCTAGGCTATATACATATCAGATATACTGATTGTGTTGGATATGTTGTTGAATCGACTAAAACTGGTAACTTATAATATTAGCAGATGATCGAATTGGACTAAAACCTAATAAAAGTTCTTGTATAGTACTTTTCTTTCCTCTTTGATAGTATACATGATCGGCAAAAGTTGATGTCATAAGACAAAGAAAGAACAGAATCATCACGTACGTAACAAAATCCCAAATCGAGAATTCAATCAAGAATGATATGATTACGAATTTTTCCTCAAAGACCATTATTGAAGATGTTTATTAGTGGTTAGCAGAAATAATATGATGGTACCATTTAGATGATATCGAATGCATTGAACTTGAAAGTTGATCATAAACCCTAATGTTGGTAGGTGGTACCTATCAACGTTATTCACGCGGTTTACATATAGAACCCACAGTTTTATCACACGTATTTTTTTAGGGAATGCGCATACTATATGGGTGTTAGAGCAGAAAATCATAAAATGAAAATCGTTACTCGTAAAAAAATTACTAAATATATTCATCGCTATATCAGTGGAACTTAATTTTAGTTTTGTACCATATAATTGGACAGGATAAAAGTAATAGTAACGCATATATACCTATTGTATAATATAGTGCAACTGTGCAGGTCCTTTATAACGAAAGGACATGGTACGATTTTGACATTTATGATAAAGTTTTACGATGGCTATGCCATTCACATGTGCTGCATTATTCAGCTATCTGAAGTTTTACTTATGATACTTACAAATCATGTTGAAGGATCAAGATATTTTTCTCTTGGCAGTCAAAGTTATAAACGGAACTGGGCGATAAATATTAGAACTCACATGATATGTATAAAACCAATATAAAAGTTAACATACATAGACTCAAGTACAGCAAAAGGACTCAATAAGAAATGAATTTTATAACGTGGAGTTCTAAATTTTTAGACATCTCTAGTTCTCTACTCGAGTGACACTTTATAAAAAAATTGGAATCTATTCAAACTTGAATCAGACAACATAGAAGACAACTTCAATGTAATCGGCTAGGCCACCAACATTTCAATTTTGGGGTTTATTGCGGTTAAAATGGTAGCTGAGTTTTTGCCTAAAACGATAGAACTGAGTCACATGAGTCCACATGGGGTCATCTTCTTCTTATTGACAAAATGACATTAATTGGAGTTTTTGTCCCTATTCTCTCCTCTTGTTGCCATTTAGTTTCGTTTCTTTTTCCATTCTAAAACAAAGCTTATCTCAGTAATTTTTTTTTTTTTTTGGCTTAAATATCTCAGTAAGTTTCGACCGAACTCGAGTTCTTATATTTTAGCGTGGGAAATGTTAATTATTTTTTTGTTTAGTCCATATTTAGGACTAGGTGAATGTTGACAGTGTGAAGATGATAAGAGAATTTTATGTATTTATATATATTTCAAACTTGAATAGTGTGAAAACTGACGCAAATGATAATATATTTACGGTGATACCTAGATTCGATCCATGCAGTAATTTATCAATACTTAATATCTACTAGATGGTTTTTCCGTGCTCATGCACGGATATAAATATTTATAAAAGTAAAATTTTATAATAACTGATTGATAGTAAGTTTTAGCTTTGTATCAATTTATCTGTATAATTTAAATTAAAAATATATTATATTATTTTAATTATACATATGACTTTGGATATATTATTATCGGTTTAATTATTTTTTGGATCAATAGTCGGTTTAGTTATCAATTTGATATATTGGATAATATTTATTTTTCAAATTCAGCTATAATACTTTTTATTGTAAATATAATAAAATTTTGATTAATTTTCTTATTTTCATTTCGGTTGGTTATTTTCTTAGATATGTAAATATCTTATAGTTAAATTATATATAACTTAATATATATATATATATATATATTGTGCTTAAACTAAAATAAATAATAAGCTGAAGTGTTTGATTCAAAATTACATAAATGAATATAATGATAATATTTTGAAGTCTCATGCATATATACAAATTCTACAAAAGAATAAATTGTAATTGGTTAATATTTTATTTTTATTTTAATATACTTTGAGTCAACCTCTAATTTATATTTATAAAATTAAATAGATTATTATTACTATAAAATTTTATGTTCTTATTGTAGTTAGATGTTTAATTTTGGGTATAAATTAGATTAGTCGAGTCATTCATGTATCCAATCAAATTAGTTAATTTATCGCTTAAATATACATGTATTTTCATAATATTTATTTATTCCTTATTTTAGTTAAGTAAAATCAAATCAGTTTTATTTATTGCTTAAATATACAAGTATTTTCATAATATTTATCAAATTATATGTTGATTTCTAAAAAATATTAGAAAATAAAGTGTAACTGATAAATTTTGGATGTTCATGAACATATATATTTTTGTTATTTTGAAAATATACTATATGTTATTTAAAATATATATTAATGGGGTATATTACTATTTTGTGAACTTTCCTTTTTAATAAAGTCATATTATATACATATATTTTCGTTTTTAAATTTGTTTTAAAATTTTAGAAATATTTCTTTTTTATTATATATGTTATTTGAAAAAATTAAAAAAGAAACTAAATAAAAAAATTAATAATAAACTTAAAATCTAACAATTCATTAAGGATATCTATGTAATCAACTATCGCGAGAGTTAACGTGAGCACGACACATAGGAAACTGACTTCTCAAATAATATTATAGAGATACATCCAAATACAAGGATTCCGATATTTCATTGGCATTGCTAAATACTGTATTATTATTTCTTTCGAGCAACCTCATTCACTTTAGTAATGGCTAGTTAATGGAATACCATTTAGGACATCTCCAATGATCCCCTCATTTAGGACCACCTTTAATATCAAGGATGAGGGGGTGGTATTTCAAAAGTCATCCTTAAATTTGTTTTTGAAACAATTAGTAATTTATACTTTATTCCTCAATATTTTTAAAAATTAACCATAATCACCGATTTTTTTAAAACCATTAAAACATATTATTTGAAACATATTGAGATAATTTTTTTTTGATAAAATATAATAATGTAGTCAAATATAACTATAAGTAGTACAAAAAGTGTTAATAAAATAATTTTAATCAAGATATTTCTTATAAATACAACAATAAATACTAAAATATGATAGATGATAAATTATTCATGCAATTGTGAAACATATTTAAAATTTTAAGAGATGAATAACTGTTGAAATGCAAAACCTCTCAAAAAACAAAGGGATACCAGGCTATTGAAGATGCTTAAGATCGTCTAGTTAAAACATAAAACCGTATCTTTGATGGACCTTAGAAGTCACATCTGACAAAATGATTCATAAGAAAGTTGGTCAAAAATCAGAAATATACGAAACTGTAAGAGATATAGTGATACATGTACATGGAATCAGGTGATAAATGAGGCTGGGTAAGAATTTTGATTAAACATCATGGTATGACTACATTGACTAGTAAACATTATCCTAGGAAAAAGGGGGAAAATATTACTTGCACTCAATAAATACACCGAAACAAGACAGACAAATCATACATAGATCTAGGGTTTCATTGTTCAGAACTTCAAATTATATTTTTGCATATGTACAATATTTTGCTTAAACATAGCACATGCATGCTTTCCGTTTGTATTTGCATTGTTCAGTTTTATTTTGTTAAGAAGCTACAGCATTGTGTTTCTAAAAAACAAAGCATTGAAAAAAAAGTTTATCAAGGAATATGATATCTAGATATAGGATGATACACTGATACCACCTGGAATCAAGATTTTATATAGATAATACAATTTTGCTTGTTAAGAGGGTCACAATTCACTACAATCAAATGAAGACTTTTCTGTTTTATATATATATTCCTATACAAAAGTTCGAACATTCTATCAAAAGAATGAAAACATTCCATTTAAAAAAAAATCTGGCTTAACTCCAATAGGAAACATTCTCCAATCTCTAACCAGCTTTTTCCTTTTCTTTAATAACCTTTTTATAATAGACAAAAAAGCAAAAAGGAGAGAAAATAATGGTTGCTTCTTTGAATGTTCGCATCAACTTCAGTTCCATCTCTTTATTTTTTTCTGATATCTCTGTAATTATCACGTTCCCAAAAACATTTTACCTTCTTGAAAAGAGTTTAAAAGCAAACCAAATTAAAGGAATTCATAGCCTAATCAAAACTCTTGCAGATCCTTCACGTAATGTGTATATTACTTCAAAGTTTTGTTTCTAAGTTATAACTCCACCGGTTGCCGATAAACAACACATATAGTTGCAAGTTATATTTAAGCGATAAGCAAACAAAAAAATGTATTCAATCACAGATTAACACAAGCAACTGATGAGTGTTTCACATAAAAAAAGAAACAAAGAGCATCTTTAGAACATTTTAGAGCCTATATACATTACTGATGCTTTTCTTTCAAATTTTCGCAACTAAGACCAACAAATCTGTGCAGAGTATGAAAAGAGTAAACAAAGACAAGGTTTGTATAAGAGAAAAAAAAAAGGCAAACGAACTTGATTTAAGTCAAAAGAAACAAACTTAAGAGCGAAGCAAAGAAGAAAACCTCTTTTTTTCAATGTTGTTCATTGCTACTTTCCACTTTTATCATTAAAAGCTCATGGATAGGTTGTCGACAAATGGGACATTTGTTTGACTGGAACCTTAGCTCTTTAGCGCAGTCACTGCACAAACACTGCAAGAGAGAACAACACAACATGAGTTATAGTCATAAGAACAGTTCAACCAAAACGTTACATTATTGTGAAATGGGAGAAGCTTTTTACCAAATGTCTACAAGGCATCACAGCGGTGTCCTTAGGTTCAGTCAAGCAAATGACACATTCTTTGTCATCACTATCCTCTAACCCTGACGCAACATCATCATCTTGTGCAACCGAGTTATCGATACCATACAACTCACGTAGCTCATATCTAGCTCCTTCAATCCACAGTATCTGTTTCATGACTTTCACTTTGAAAGATCCATCATTAGTCTTCTCCAAACACGCTTGTGTGATTTGTTTGTGAACTAATGGTTCATCTGAACCTGAGCTTGGTGAGATCACTGTCTCTGCTGATATTACAAGTGGGTACACCTCTTCTGTTAATGGGTTTGATAGATCGTCGAGTGAAAAGAAACCTAAGTCTGTACCTGTCCCTGAAGATTGTAGAAACTTCTGTGCGGTTCCTTTTTGGAAAGGGACTTTGGTTGGTGGGAAAGCTTCTGGAAAATGAGGGACAATTTTGCAGTTTTCTTCCTCTTTTGCAAAAAATATTATAGTAAAACTGAAAAATGAAACAAAGGAACATAATGAGAACACCCTTGTTAGATAATCTTACTAATGTACTACTCATAACAAAAAAAATCTCAATTTCTTGATAAGAAGGTTTCTTTAGGTTTTAGTCACTCTTAGATCAAAGCCAAGTATACAACACCCAAAGAGAGTAATAATATTGATTCAGTAGCTACACCACCTTACTGTTTATTTCTTTGATGTATACAAAACACTATCTTAACAGCATTAACTGAAAATCTTGAAATAAACTAAAGAACTACAAATGTCATTAGCTGAAGCAATGTCCTGAATAAAAATCTGCATCCAGCTATGTAAATGAAGCCTAAATTGCTGGGTTTTTAGCCAATATAATTGTAATCACATACCCATCAGCTAGATCGTGTAAAGTTTCAACCTTTATTCAACCCAAGTTCTAGGATTCGAGTCACACAATGTAAAGTTTGAACCTTTTAATCTAAACATCGAGATTTTGTATACTAAGTTCTATTGTGAGTGAGACGAATAAACATACCTGCCATCGAATACAGCATCGTAGAGGAAGGAAACTAGATGATAACCGGGGTTAAGATCATCAGCTTCGAGCCTCACCGTATCTTTATGCACATTGACATCATTCCTCACCTTCTTAGCGCTCTGATGCTCCACAAGAGGCTGTTGTTGGTTAACCACCACAGGTGGACCGTAGTAAACCGGTCTCATCATCGTATTCCACCCATTGTGATGATAACCGGAGAAATAAGGAGGCTGCTGCTGCTGTTGCTGTTGCGGGTTTTGATTGTAGTTATAGACGTGAGGCTGTTGCTGTTGAGGGTTTTGATAACCGTGAGATCCGTAATTAATCTGAGGCTGAGAGGGTGGAGGAAGAGTGTGTTGCGGAGCTGAATAGCTGTACTCATTGTGCGGTGGTTGAGGCGGTGGTTGTTGTTGTGGTTGATCGGTGTAATAGTAGGGCGGAGGAGGAGGGAGGTGATGGTGGCGGTGGTGGTTGTTTCGTCTACGGTTGCTGAAGGAGATTCCCATAGCTTAACAAGACGATAGAGAGAGGAGAAAGAAAGATAGAAGAGAAGAAGGAGAAGGACAGAGATTTGGAAAGGAAAAGTCAAGATCGATCAAAAGAAAAGAGTTCTTGTCTTGTCCGAAGATATTTTCTTGACTTTTTCGATTTTTACTTTTTTCACCGCGGGAAAGATAGATTTACTTACACGGTTTAGTAGATTTACTGCCATTTTTTTGTATCAAAATTAAAATAAATGTCAACGCGTGTGTTCTTAAAGTAGTTAGTCAATGCATCTCTTTTTGAATTTAGAATGTTTCCATATATTATACGTGTCAACAAAATTTAAATTCATGTAAACTAAGTTGTACTTGTAATTACATCTCTTAGCTAAGAAGAAAAAAAAAAAAGACATGTTTTGAATAATTTATTAGTCTCTGTTATTATACAAAACCAAGAAATCGAAAAACTAGAGCGACCATATTATTTTATCTGTGCATTAACGGGCTGACTCCAAAGAACCTAAGCTTTTGTATTTTGTAAGATTATTGTACAATGTAATTAACCCAGTAGCTTCTTTAGTGACTATTGGTTTCTTGCTCTTGAGGTGATTGAGGCTCTATCTTTATCAACAGAGGCTCATTCAAATCAGCAGGAGTATCGGCCGTATCGTTCAGCTCGGGCGAGGCTGCAACCGCTTCGTTCAGGTCTCCTCCGTGCTCTGCTAAAGCTTTTCTAAGTGCGTTCTGCGCCACCTTAGTGACACACACCATTAATATCACTGCAAAGAGAAAAGATAAAAGAAAGAAACGTTAGTGATTCTGTGGTTCTATAAAGATTCTATTATGGTGAAACTGAAATGTAGGAACTGTCAGAACAAACCAGATATTACAAGGCTCGAAATCAAGAACGCCTGCGAATATTGCAAAACACATGTTCAGAAAAGAAAAGAAAAATAAGAAGGCTGAGAATGTAATTAGTATTTGTGGCCGGGTCTTACCCAGCGACCTATAGAGAACTCGCTCCACTTGTGAGTCACATCAGAAAGATCTTTTAGTGTTGTTCCAGCATACACTAACGCAAGTGTTATTGGCTGTAATATCAACAATGTATATATAATCAAGGTGTATTCTTTCGATCTTACAGTTAATAAATTTTACAGTGGTTTAGATGAAGATTACCATCATTCCTAACCAAGAAGAAAGCAAGTACGGACCCAGCGTTATAGGCGTTACAGATAAGAGGTAGTTCAACATGCTGAAGGGGAGAAGAGGAGCAAGCCGGAGCAACAAGCATATCTATATGTTGAGTTTTACATATCAGTTTCAGAAACAGAGTGCCAACAGTTTGTAGTTTGTATTGGTTCTCACCTTGAAACCTGATTTCTCAATCGCAAGTGCCACTGATTGAAACTGAGGATAGTCTTTCAATTTTGCAACTACAAAAGGTTTCCCAATCTGCATAAGAGTATGGTTTATGTAAGTACTCCCCAAAAAGAAGAAGAGAGCATGTATCTACAAATCTTCTAACTAAATAAGAAGTTTGAGAAGCATACCGTACGGCCTAGAAGAAAGGCTGCTCCTGAGCCAAGTGTAGCACCGATCGAGTCTGCCACAAAACCAATTGGCAGCCCAAAAAGATAGCCACCACCGATCTGAAATATCAAGATTTTTCAATTTTATAGATAAACTGGTCACTCTAGCAATGCAAGTTGAGAGTGGATAATAGTAGCCTTAATACATCTCACAAACACACACAAAAGAAATAGGATCTGAAGTATGTACCGTTAGAACAGAGGCAGGAACAGCCAAAACTGTTAGGGGAATGTACGCAACGGCTCTACGCATATTAGAAAAAGAAAGAGAAGTTCAGTGCCTGACCAAAAGGCTTCCTCACTATTTATGTTCCTAATTTTCTAAGAGTTTTATTTCTCACATCCATGGTTAAACAATAGCAATGAAACAGATGATACTGCTTGTTAGTGTAACTCAAAGCTAACCATTCACTCAAGAATCCATTTAGCAGAAAAAAAAAATAAGAGGAAGAGAGACACTTACAAGGCAAGAGGTCCCCACGGCCCTAGATCTTGTTCAACCCATAACAAAAAATCCTTCAGTAGCTGAAAATACAAATAAACAGTGAAGTTTCAGATCATAAACTAGCTAATGCTACAAACCCACAACTCAAAATTCAAATGGGAAGATATCATCCAGATAGTTCTACACGCAGCATTTACTCTCTTTTTTCCAACCAATTTAGCAATAGCAAACATAAACACATGGTGCTCATAAAACATACACAAAAGGCTCAAAATTTCCCTTTCACATGACCACAGAAAAAGATGCAAAAGCTCAATTCTTCATTACTACGAAACGTCCAATCACAAAACGCAAACCGACCAACTTTCAAAGAAAGGATATGACTTTCAACAAACCAGCAAAGACCCGTCACAGAAAGCCACAATTAAACCCCCCAATTTTAAAGGAAAGGGACCTGTTCGACGGGGAGAAAATAGCAAGCTAAGACAATTGCAGCTACAAGGATCAAAAGAACTGAAATCCGGAGAGCAGATCCCCACGTAAACGCCATTCACGGCGACCCTTAAATCACCTCCGATAACTCCTCCACGGATCTATGGATTGTTCTCTCTGCCACGCAAAAAAAAAAAAACAAAAAGGCGAATTCTCCGACAAAAAGGGAAAACAGAAACGAGACCCTTAAGGTGAAGGAAGATTTTGTCTTTGGCGGTTTGCCGTGGAGATAATCTAATCCGAAAAGGACAGAACTTTATTAATTTAGATCGGGGATTTCGTGAATGAGAGGAAAGACTCAGAATTTGTTGATTTGGTTTTTGCAGGTCTCCAGCAAATATGAACTGTGTCTGGTTACAATCAACCGCGTACCGACTTCCGGTTCTGTCCGTAAAATATATTTTAATCATATCTTTAATATCATCCCAAAATTATAATGTTTTATAAACAATATAATATCACATGTTTTACTTACACAATGACATTTTGAAATTCTTGTCGTAATATTATATGTTGTTTGGGAAGGTTGTTATATGTTTGTTAAACTATATATTAATAATGAGATTTTTCTACATAAATAATGACATTGAAAATAAGACATGTTTGACTAAATAAAAAGAAGAATAATGACCATTTAATTTTTTTTTGGGTCAAAAGACCATTTAATTATACAAAGGATTAATGGCATGTGTATTTCATGATCAATCTATATAGTTACTTATTCAAAGTACTGATTATTTTATTTTAAGAAATTAAATTACAAGTAATCAGATCATTTGTTTAAATTAAATATATACATTATAAATATGAAAATTACGAAAGTTATAATTGGGAATTAGACAAATATCAGTTTCCAATATATATATATATATGAAACTATATATATGTTACAATTTTGTATTTTGTAAACTCTTTATGATAACAATATATTTGATTTGTTGACATAAACTTATTTGCTTCTGTCCATCGTCTAGACAGAAGATATTTGAATACATAAGCTAGTCAACGATTTGTAGTGTTCTTCAGCTGTGCTAATACTCAATTTATGGCTAGACGTATTCTGTACTTCTGAAGTGTACACGACAACACAAACAAAAGAATCATGACTCCTAACTTCTAGTCCTAACCATCATTCTACTCTTTTATCTCACACACAAAGCATTTAACAAGACATGAACAAGCATCAGATCAACAAAATACTGATGCCCAATCTCCCCGTCTCTCCACCTCGTCTTCGCCGGAGCTCTCCCATAATGAACCCCATCGTTACACCTGTTATCATAATGCCACGGATACGTCATGTCAAAATTATCAATCACACCAGACACCAACCCAAACTCCTTCATCTTCTCCAAAAACACCCCATTGTACACTTCCATCTTGCTCGGATTAAACGCCAGCGTCCTCGCGTACCCGCCCGTCGCGATCGTGTTCCTAAAAACCACTTCCGGCGGTTTGAACCCGCGTCTTTTCACCGAATCAAAAACGTTTCTCCAAAACGCAGCTGCGGTTTTCGCTCCTTTCGAAAACGCTCTAAGGTTAGACCAGTGTACACCATCATGTAGACCCGAGTTCACAACCATTACGTCAGGAACACTTGTTTCTTCAGCAAAGTAGCTTTTTAGCAGCTCTCTGAATCCGTGGTCTCTAAGCGAGTCAAGACCTTGATAGTTCTGCGTCTCGTTCCAATGTCCGTTGAAGATACTCGTGATCCTAACTGTCTCCGACGCGTTCTTCGGGTTAGAGAATTTCAAATCAAACCTCCTAGGGACAGAACCGATCTCGGGACGACCCAATACGAAGTTGAGCAAGTTTCTAATCGTATCCACGTGGTTCGAGTCTCCCCAAAAGAAGATCCATTTATTCTTCAAACAACTCCAAGCCTCATCACCAGAGAAGAGCTTAAACGAGCAGTGACTCGAGTAAACCCAACCGTTACTCTCTAACTCACCCAACGCTCCTTCGCACCACGGTTTCCGACAAGGGAAACCATCTTCAAGACAACGGTATCGCCCGTCGTTGCTGATTTGGCACTCCTTGTTCTCACCAAGCCTAGTCCACCGTCCGGACCAGACCTCTCTTTCAAAATCTGACCGGACGCATCTCCGTAGCTCCGGTAAAACGACGTCGTTTTTCTCGACGAAGCGGAGTTTGATTCTGCGGAGCTCTCTGTTGAAGGCGAAACGTTCAGGGCTGAGTTTAAGTCCTTGGAAGTGACGGAAGAGTAAGATGACGGTTAGATTGTAGTCTCCGGCGAACTCGGGATGTATCTGGAGGGAGATAGAGTAAGTTCCGTTGGTTAAGTCTTTAACCGGTGGTCTTGATTTCCAGTTTTGGCCGGAGAGATCGGTTTCGAAGTAATCTCCACCGACGCAGAGTTGTTTTCCTGATTCGTCAAGGGTTTGGAATCTGAACTCGTGGATCTCTCCGGCGGTTAATTGGATAGAGTCTTGATCGTCGATGTTTGGAATGGAGATCTCGACGGTTTTTGCGTCTCTGCATTTCTCTCCTCCTCCTGGAGCAGACCAGTTTTTTAAGAGGTTGGTTGTGAAGTTGTGCTCCATCTCTGCGGAGATCCAGTGGAACTTTAATTGAGTTGAATGTAGATCCGTTGGATTAGTTGTGTTGGAAGTTAGATTTGGTTTCGTAGAAGGAGAAGTGAGTCGCATGGAGTAAGAAGCGTTGAATCTCCATGAGTCGATGAATGTGTTGATCCTACAGCCGTCGATGCTCCAGAGGATAACCATAAAGAAGAAAACGAGGGACGTTAGAGTGCTTAACCTCCATCGATGCAGAGGACTCGGACGGTGGTGGCTCACCATCTGAGACGGAATCACTCCTTTCTCCGGCATCTGTTGATGTCCAAGTTACAAAAGCCTGGGAAACACAAGAAAAATGATGGTGACAATAAGAAAGAAATCAATTTGACGACATAGAGAATTTCAAGTAACCAATTTTTTTTTTTAACTTTCCTAGTAAAACGCATAAACTTTACGATTTTCTCGAGAAAACATTAGAAGTAAGTAATATAATACTAATATTGAATAAGATAATGAAAACACTCACAACTTACTCGATATGATTAGGCTTGTTTTAGATTTGAAGGGGGAAGAGTTAGGTAAGAAACAGTATGAAAATTCTCAGAAGACAAAGGTGATCTTTTACCAAAAGGCGGAAGAGTAAAAGATATGACAAAATCTTGCACGGACAGATATACCCCTATGATTCAGGGGAAATTACAATGGCACGAAGTGGTGAGCGCGCCAACTAATAGAAACATGTTAGCCAACGAAGCGTGTCAGAACTCGCGTCGGCTTGACGTTGGGGGAATTACGTTCACGGTCGTTGTCTGAGACACGGTGGTGGTGATTTACTGATTTTAAGAGAGAGAGTTGGGGTCACGTGTTTGCCTCGGTCATTGTCGCACTGCCCGCTCACAAATGTAATAAACACTAGGGAGGAAAACGTGGAGGATAAGTAACGTTTTTAAAGATTTAGTTCTATCATTTTGTTTGGCTTGTCACCAATGACTCTTTGGGATCATTTTCTATAACTGAAAGCTTCTGCCAACTATCATTTTCCTAATATACATATAACTGAAAGTTTCTGCCAACTATTTTTCAATTTATGCAAGAAAAAGAAACTACTATTTTCCAAGTTTGTATACCTTTCAAAATCAAAATGAATACGGGGATCCCCTTCTTTCTTTAACGCATAGATTAAAAAATTTCAGTCGTGCAGTAGAAGGAAAGTATATTTACATATTGCATAACTGAAAACTTTATTTATTAGGTTACTAAATCTATATATCAACACTAATGGAAAGTTCTGTTATTAACCAACCTTTTTGTCAACGCCTGTCGATAGGGAGGACAATTATGGCTGAGACTTGCAAGTTAAGCCTCTTGAGTCTTGAGCCAAACTCTGTGTTATTGAGTGAAAATTAGTCAATATGTTGGTTGATGAAAAAGAACATAACAAATACATATAAAAGCTGGTGATTGTTCAATTAGTTTTTGTCTGCTTTGTTATTTGCTGATGATAGCAAGTATTCAGAAAGGGATAATATACTTTTCATGTTCTATCTTCTACTACCTGTTTACCTTTGTTGCCTACTGATTCAAATGATTCAGATTTTCCTTTTCATGTTCAGAGAGCATCTCGCATTTCTGTTCTAACTGAGCTTGGTAAATTTACTGCTTCACCTTCTCAAATTACTTGTTAAACAACAGGAATGACTGCTCAACTTCAATCAGTGAGGGGAAAAGTTTAATAACATTTGATTTGTGTAATGAAAATTCCAGCACATTTATGGACTTGTACAGTGAGTGCTAGCTAGATCTCTGATCAAAAGGAGAGATATTGAAGATCATATAAGAAGAAGAAAAAATTAGTCTAAAAGACAAGATAAAGCAACAAAAGAAATTGGGGATTATATAACAAGAATGACCATTTCAGTGATCCAAGTGATCCAAGTACACATCAGACAGAGAGAAAACAAGTTTCTTTTTCTTTACTCTGAAGGAAAAATGATTGTGAATCAGCCCACGAAGTCAAGCTAATTCATGACACTGAGCTTTGGATAATTTTCATCCACGTAAGTGAAAAAAAGGAAGATTTAGCTCCAAGGGTCATCCCAACCACTGGGTCCTTCTCTTTTGACAAAACCAATAATGGCTTGAACAGCTTCATGAACTCTATTGGATAGAGAGTGGTTTCCATGCTCTATCTCCACTTTCTCTGCTCCTCCCATTGCTTTACTTAATCTGTAATCTCACACATATCAAATGAATCCTTTTGACTTGTCTATTCATGTGCAAATCATTTCTAGATCATTTTCATCGAAAGTTTAACCTATTTTATTTTAACTTAAGACTCCAACAAATGAACACAATGAAGATATGCTTGTATATTTTTAGTCACTTTAGGTCTAAGGCCTCACCTATTAACCAGTGCTTTTTTGTCGACATAATCCGGTACATACTCATCACCCATGGAGAAAATCACCTGTGTAGAACAACGGACATAGAGAAATATAAGAAGCTAATCAGATCCCAATGACCTCTTCTAGAAACAAAAGATGTTCGTGATGGTTAAGTTTTGTTTTTACCTGACAAGGTGTGTTAGCCATATGACCAATTCTAGTTTTCAACTGATCATCACTAAGGTCAGAACTAAACATATCGTCATCTCCCATGTAAGCGCAGAGGGAGTGATATCTGCCGGAAGCAAGTAAAATATTGATTGTGTATTCTAGCATACTCAAACACACAACTTCTCCATTTATTCAAGGCGGTGATTGTAGGTAGAATGAAATAGATATTTACCTATAAGCAGAGATTGGAGCACAAGGATCAGCTTCTCTAGGCATTAGTTCCTCTGCTCGGCCTTCGCTTATCATTTTTGCAGCCAAGTCTATCAGAGCTGGTGTTTCAGGGAGTGTTGCTTTGTACTCTCTATCGCTCACCGGTGCCTACATAAACACATAGCAATATACAATATGATCAAGGCTACAATAAAGTCAAAACATATGATAGAGTACACTACACAAGATCCAACTCAAAAGGCCTTTTCACATATCATAATACGAGAAGAGCGGAAAATACAAGTCATAGAATCCAGAATTGTCACCTGCAAAATTGTAGCTCGGACGGCTCGGGAGCATGCAGCATTTGTTCCCATGTAATACACAATGTCCTGTTTCAAAAGTACGAGAAGAAAGAGTTTCTAACATAGCTTTTCTTTTCAGAACCATGACCGAGAGTGTTTGGGGCTTAAAAATCACCTGGCAGCCAGTGCTATGACCAAGCAGAACAACACCTTCAGAATTCTCTTTGTTGATGAGATAACTTATAAGTTGGTCGATCTCTTGTGCATCCTTCATCAAAAAGGAAACCTTGATAAGTAATCTGCTAACTGAAGAAACTCATAGTTTTTTTTCCCAGAGTATCTACCAATAGCAAAACAAAAATCCATAGTAAATGAAAAACAAAGCGAGTCTTTACTTGTTTCAAGCTTGAAGTGCCGAATCCAGAATACGAAGAGGACATGAGTAGCTGAACAAGTGACCATTTCTCTTTATCCAAAGCAATTGCAAGAGGTTCCAAGTAACTGAAAAAACAGCCAATTTGTGAATGTTTCAACAATCTTTGTAAATGAAAAAAAAAAAAAAATTTGATTGGAAAGCAACCATCATTCATAGAGAATCAGCGAAACACTGCAGACTCTATGCCAAAAGGTAAAAGCTTTAGGGGCAAAGGGAGAAGAAGCCACGTACTCAGTAGCTAAAAGACCATCGGTTAATCCACCGATGAATATCACTTGTTGTTTATACTCTCCTGTCTTAAAAGCCACCTGGAGAAATACAAGTGAAAAAACACAAACAAGCTATTACTACAAAAAGCCAAACTTAGAAACACCAGTAGCCATGACAATTCAAAAAACAAGAATCTACAGGTTTATGCCAAAAAAAAAAAAAAAAACATTCTGAATTTTCAGAAATGGACCATCTTTGTCTTAAAAACTTGCTGTTTACTGCCATAACCTAACTTTCACATAACAGTAGCCATGACAATTCACAAAACAAGAATCAAACTGTTAACTTTGATCTCACATATGGCTTTGAAAATTTGACTTAAACTCTCATTAAACGTTTCTACATGATCATAAACCTGAATAGATTTGGGACCGTATCTGAACAAAACTCCGCGAAACTGGTTCTTCCCTTTGATTGGTCCACCGTAATCCCCGCTTCCTCCTCCTCCTCCTCCTCCCACCGTCGACGCGCTTTTCGTTAGCTTCCCCGTTCCTGATTTGCCTCTAACAATTCCGGAGAACCAGGACGTGGTCGTGGAGGATGACGAAGCAGCCGCTGGAGAAGACGAAGATCCAGATGTCGACGCCGCAGCAGCACCGGAGGAAGACATCTCCGGGTTCGCTGAGGAGATGAGAGGAATCTGGCGACGGTTTTTCAGATTCGAGACAAAAATGAGAGGAGGTTTCAGGGAGTGGGAGCACGCGCCGTCACCCGCGTAACAGGAGGAAGTCGTTGTTGGTATACATGTCGGAGTTTCGTTAATTGCGTTACGTTTTAAAACTTTATAATATAACGTTAATACATTAATTAGTCTATGATCAATTATGATGGCTCGTAATAAAATTATTAGAATATAGTATGGTGTGTCATGTACATGCAGGGGTGCGCCACCACTAAATGCGAACTTAACTCCAAGTTGAAATTTTTATTTTGCTAATTTTGGCAGTTTAACTGACATCATGATCATATACCATAACTACTAATTTGATGCTTGATCATTTTGAATATTTTAATTATACGTGTTCTTTATATTAAAATCATAAGTTAGTACTAAAGTCACGAATCAACATACTTCAAATCTACTAGTATTAAAAAAAAAACAGTTTAATCTCATAAGCCATGGAATTTTTATTTGACTATGATCCTTTCTACTGCCCAAATTTTGAAAATTAATACGTCAAGATAGGTTTGGGTATCTTATCTGGATCCAAAAACTCAAATCGAACCGACCCGAAAATACCCGATCCGAAACTAAATCAAAAAATTTACAAGTATTTGTTGAGTCTAAAATTCTTCTACCTGAAAGAATCGGAACCGAAAAGAACCGATCCGATAAGAACCGATTCATACCCGATTTAAAAAAATGAATATGCAAAACTATAATTTTTATGTTCTATTTTCTATATTTTATTTTATGATTTAGTTGAAATATATTGTTGTTAACAATCTTTGCTATTATTTTTGTAACAATTTCAAGTTATATGAAGTTTTATTTGTCAAATTTAAAGTTTAAAAATGTTTTATTTTAATTATTAATAGTTTATTTTAAGTAATTTTGCAAAATTTTAAATATATATGAGATATTTTCACTAAATTTAATAGGATTTGGATACAATGTCTAGAATTCGAAGGATCCGAACCCGAAAGAAATCAGACCCAAAGATCCGAACGCCATGCCTACGTCAGGACATTTTTTTTGGGTAGTCCAAATAATTACAGTGTATAAAAATTCTTTGTGAAGCCCATTACAAGACTCACATGAGAAGCCCAATAATAGATTGCGAAGCTTTAATAGCCAAGTAGGCCCAACCTATTTACAACGTGCTTTGCCCTCCCTCTATACTTACCATGTATATGCTTCAAAACATATGTGCTCTCTTTTTTAGACATCAAGCTTCAAAACGTATGTTATATTCTATACAAACGTCCGGTTTTATGTTTTCAAAACATATTTTATATTCTATACAAACGTCGGGTTCGTATTGTTTTCCCATAAAAATGAAAAATTTAAAGAGGCGAAGGAGATTTCAAAGATGGCAACGTATAGTCAGAAGCCGAATAATTTCATGGATGTACCGTAAGTGACACAAAAAGATAATGACGACTAATTTCTAATGGTGAACTATAGTTTTATCTTCCAGTAGAGAGTTGTTATCAGGCCTGGTTGTTATGATTATTATTTAATTAAATGTGCTTAACTGACTTAATTATAGACGTATAGACACAGGACTAGAACCATCCGACAAAACGAAATGTCTGATTCAAATTTCATTATAAGGGTTCTAACAAGAACACCCACCACAACAACTACTTTTATTACTCCCCTAGCTAGTAGATTATTAGTTTTTGCACCTGCTTAATCTATTAGTTAAATGACACGATACAAACTTTTTTATTACGAATATATTTGCTATAAAAATCTTGATCAAAATGAGAATGTTTTACCATGTATTCTTGCTTGATGTTGCATATATCAAAAAAAAAGGAAAAGTATTAGGGCAAACCTGTGCAACTCTTCTTAGTAAATATGAAAACATTCATTCAATTCAACACACGAATAGGAGTGAATATAAATGCTACCTGCGTCCGAATCTAACTATGTCCATAATGTATTTATTTATATATTATATCAAAGTCCATTATCGAATACTCTATCAAATCCAAAATAATGGGGTAATTTACCTTTTTACAAAAGTGAAGAGAGAGAGTGGGGGAGACGATTCTGAATGCATTTGTGTGGTCGATTAATCATTTGCAAATGACTACACATGTAGAAAAGCATCTTTAATGCACAAAAAATACATCTATTGATTCTAGTTTTAATCAAAGCATCACGATCGCCACCCCCTACGTATCATTTTTAATGCAAATACTAAATATAATTAAAAACGCGAGCTGTGAAAAAACAATACCTCTTGCATTCGTGCGACGCACCTGACACTTGCAAGCTCTATCGCTAAGCTGTCTAGGTATGGCCACAGCCTGACTATCCTAACTTCCATTCTTGTGACAGAAGTTATACAGGATTTGGCTAGTTAAGAGCATCTAAAAGGGTGGATTCCGTTAAAGAGTCCTTAATCAATATCTTTTTTAATTGAATAGTTAAAGATTTTAAGTAAAAAGTGAATCTAATGGCGGACTCCATTTAAGAGTCTTTAGGGAAATTTTTTTATTTTTTAAACATGAAAAATTTAAAATTTTATTAATTTCATGATTAAACATAAAAATACGATAATAAAAATATTCATTCCCAAAGTTGTTCCAAATATTTTTGATTAAATCATTTTTCAAATGTTCATGTCTACGCCTATCGCGAACATGATTCCGCATGCCAAGCACATTACCTAATATGCTACGAAAACAACATGCATCCTCATCTTAAGCCATAAATCAACAAGAGAAGGCAGATACTTACCTTGATTGTCGGAGGAGACCACTATCACCTTTTCGCCAGAGCAATTTTTTTCTCGTGATATATCGAAATTGTTTGTTTTTTGGTTCAACGCGCAACACATTTTCCCACTCTTCTAATCGTTATGCGCCACGTCGATATGGACCCAATCTTTAAACACTTATGTAAGGATTGATCCTTATCTATTCTCCTTTTTTAAAAAAATTTCCAAACCGTAAATTCATGTTTTCGTGCTAATTGGATTCACTACGAATCGCCGTCGTGGATGGTCTAAACGCCTAAAATCAGTCCAATGATAGTTTAAAAAATCTTATTGAATGTTGTAACACAAATTGTCTTTTTAATTAACTGGTGTGTTATATGGGATGGGACTAGTTTTTCGGGTCTGGATCCACAGACTTCCAGCAATTGTTCTCTGGATTTGGTTAAGCTGGAGCGCTCTCATCGTCGATTCGTAGTCGATGGCGGGGGCCGGAGTAGTCAACCGCCTCCGCCTGTTGTGCTCTGAGCGATCCTCACCTAGTCACTATCTAATGGTCCATTCGTTGGACCTACCAGTTCTTCGATATATCTGATTACCTTTGTCTAGCATTTGTTCCTTTGGAAATTGTTAAACTAGTAAAGTCCCTAAGTGTTTAATTTTTTAGCTTTTTTGGACATCTAGGGACCATTGAGTTTTATAAGCAGAATGTGATCCAAGTTAATACCTTTCATCAATTGCTCATTATTCACTTAATGAAATTCACATTTTAGCAAAACTAAAATATATACATAATTTTTTTTTTGTTGTCAACATACAAAAAAAAAAATTAAGAAGTCGTGAATCATATCTTATGTTTAAGAACCAAAATAGCTCACATGTTAATTGATAAATTTATAACAGTGATCTTTTGCTCGAGATAGAGGCTTATATAATGTTATACACATGTACCCAAAATAACTGTTTATGGTAGAATCAAGTTCTTAGACAGCAGAATTATAATCTGAAACTATCTACAGTTTTAAACCATGAAGCTATTTTTTGTTCTTAATGATTTTTTATTTATTTTATGTTCACGAATGTTATAATTAATAAGAGTTCTCTAATTGAGTTTCCTGAGGAATGTTTTACAATTAGATTTTTTTTCATTCCTGCTCATATTATATGTATTAATTAATTGGTTTGCTTGTATATGTATTTATTCTTATGCCTTTATGTCCCAAATGGGTCCAAATAATGATATAAATATCGAGAAACCCTATCTCCACTTTGGACCATGATAACATTGAAAATTTTAAAGGTGCACTCTATTAAAATATTTATATAGTTTCTCATTTTTCTTGAAATGTTTGAAAGTTGTAATATTACTATCGTCGAATCGAATCAAATTAAATTTTTATTTCTACGATAATAATAATGATTTATGGTAAGTCCTTGGCATTGGCCCCTACCAAAGAAGAAAAACTAAAGTTTATGGAACAAGAAAAAAGAAAATTCGGAGAGAACAAAAACCTATCAATGTCAAATCTAAGCTTCTTTTAACGAACGTACGGACGCCTTTTCTTACGGAAAATAAGTAACCTAGTTTTTAATAAGTAAACCTAGTTAACATGTGTACGATTGGTCAATCGGAGTGTAACTACAATAATTAATGATGGTTGGTGCGTAACAAATATTACGACTGAAATAGTTGTTCTGGCCAAAAAATAATTAAGATAGTTTTCTTTTTTAAAACTAATAATTAAGATATGTTAGCAAAAAAAAAATACTAGATAGTTTCAACTCATTGTTAGCTACTAAGCTAAGCCATCTAAAACGAATGTTTAAGTACAATTTTTGATAAAAACGATGTAACAAACTTATAGTTCTCTTTCTAATGGTGGTGCATCAATAAGTTTTCTTAAAATAATGTAAGATAATTACTATATCTTTTCACAAGAAAGTATTTGCCAAATGGCATGAATTTTTATTCTAACACTATAACTTTAATCCTTAATCTACTATAGTATTTAGAATTAGTTTTCGGAAACTTTAGTTTAAAGAATAAGTATCAAATTAGACCATTAAAAAAGTTTATTTATGACCATAGACACCAGCAACTCGTTTTGATACTGTAGCAACTATTATCAGTCTACCGTCTTGTAATATCAATCGATCTTGTTAGTGAGTTTCTAAGGCATCGAACCATTTCGTTATCAGAGAAAGCAAATCCCGTTGCTCGTAGCTTTGTTGAACGTAAATAGACCCCTCAAATTGTTGTCACTTCGTGAGTCGTGATTGCTAGTACTTTTATTTTATACGATCCCATGATGGACGATTAAACATAGTCCCGTAAATTAAAAAATCATAGACCCATAAGTATACAACTCAAAAAAAAATTATAATGAAATAAAATAACATAAAGATCATAAGTTATGGCCAACATAATTTTTAATTTATTCAAGAATATACATTTAACTAGATATTATTTCATGGAGTCCATTAGCCATTTCTTTTAGCTTAAGTTGACTATACCCATTTGTATTTTATAATTTATTTTGCAACTACACCATCATTTGGTTTTGTTTTATTTTCTAACTAGCATTATACCATTACATACTACCGTAGCTAAAATCAATATTTATTTCTTATAATACACAATAATTGCGTAATTAAAGATAAAGAATTCTTTAACTTTTCCGAACCAGTTCCACTTTTGTTTGGAATTATACATTTGTGTCAGCTTGATTTGTTTGGTCAATCGATTTAAATCATTAAAGGTCTATTTGAACCTTACGTCAACCCTATTTCGACCATACATGTCATATTTAGAATATTTTGTGCAATGCTTTAACACTTTCTATATTTATAAGTGCAAAATAAATTATCACACGTTAGTGCATATATATATTTTTTTGAAAAAGAACTTCAACCCAAATGTATTAAAAATATATACTTAATTTCCGAATAGAGGTATAGTCTATGAATAGACTTCTACCTAGACATTCAAATAAACTAAAATTAATAGTGTATATCCATGTGACCAGTAGAATTCGAACTAAAATTCGCCGTACTGAACCACTATCACTGGTTGTATATTTATATATAGAACTGAAATATTGATATATTAATATTTTAAATTTGAGCATTGCACATAAATACATGAGAATATAAAGATAAGTTCTCATTTTTACAAACCATAGTAGAACAAGTATATAATAATCTTGACTTAGTTTTTATATGATTTTTGTTAATTGCATTCTAGCCAGTTTATTAGCAAACATAATTAGTTCAAACTAATCACCTGTTTTATTTGCATACCAACCACCTATGCTTTACTTTATATATTTTTTCCTATATTCTGTATAGTGGTGACCCATGTGAGTATTGCAAAAAAAAAAAAAACTATGGTATTTTTTAATGGTGACCCAAGCTTTTCTTCATAACTTTTAATAATGATTTCTTTTAAAATATGATTGAAAAATAACATTTTATATCAAAGGAAAATAACATTTTATATCAAAGGCAGATTAAATCTGGGACATAAAAACTAAGTTTTCTATATTACCATTTTGCTACCAATACTTTAATAGTAAGAAACTTCTTAAAAGAGGGGAAAAAAAAAACTTGACGTGGCCTATCAAAACTCAAAGTAAGGCCTTACCGAGGTTTTTGGTTGTCCTTGATGCCTTATGGCATTCAATATATTTTAGGACATCTTGTTTATAAAACAGTCGTGCTTGTACTAATACTTTTGTTAAATCGATAGATATATTTTTATAGAAATGAACGACACTATACATCATCAATTTTATCGTTAGAGGTTAACCCAATATGATATCTTAATTTATTCCATTCACTAAACGTCCAATCAATACTTAAGCCAACCACTAACTTGAATTCATCATATAATCTATGTTTGTCTCATGATAAGGACTCTCACACATGCAAGTAATAAATTTTCTATGATCAAATTCTCTTATCAAGATAGAAGTATAATAATATTTTAGTTTAGAATGTTAGTGGTTTTTGCTAGATATCCAATACAATTATTTGTTTTAATTTTTTATCCCTTTGTTTAGAAAATATACGAGCAACATTTTTTTTTTTGAGATACAATAATAATTCAAATTTCGAAATATCTCAACACGATGAATCAAAGGCTAATAGGTAAAGTAAGCCATCGGGATTGAGGTCTGTTACATTCGAACAAGTCCGAATTTCGCATCCCTATCGATCGGATTGAAGAAAATGTATGAGCTAAGTTGCAAACTAATATTGTACAATCTGATTTATAATTAGATCACATTAAGTTTCCTAAGAAAACACATATTTTAGTTAAATAACTTACGAAAATAAATTCTTGTTACTTTTAGGTTTTAATTACGATATTAAATTTTCTATATATTAAATAAAAACAAAAACTCATACTAGCTATCTTTGAAAGGCTATAGATGTGACTTTGATCCATAATTAATTTACATGTTTTGCTTCTCCATTAATGTAGATTTGTTAAACAGTAAACACCTATAAGATTTATGGTTTGAACATTTTAATTAAGTAGAGTTAGTAGCAATTAACAAAACAAAAAGTGGCATCAGAAAATATATAAGCCAAATAGCAAAAGACTAAAACCGAAAGCCAAAAATAAAAAAAACTTCTAGACCTTAATTTATTCAGTTTTCTTTAATTATATAATGATAAGGTTGGATCAAACATGAATTAGAGCTCTTTCTTATATACTGTATGTTGACAAAAAAAAATGAATAAACATTTGATGCGTTCATACCATTGATCACTAGTGTTTTAGCCGTATTAGCTTAAATAAGGGATCTAATATAAAAAGCAGAAGAGTCCATCTATTATCAGTCAGTTTTTGAGGAAAAAGTTATAAATCTTTTATCACTCGCCTGCTGTTGATTTCAACAAGAATTGGACTTAACGCTAAAAATCCTGTACTTCAATTTACTTTTATATTTCAAGTTTATAATTTTATACTAATTGGTGACAGAACCAATTACACTTAATGATTCTTAGTGAAGATGTGATGATATATCTATCATTATATGACACGTGTCATTGCACAAGTGTCTGTAAAATACTATAAACAAAATGAACAGCATGTCGCATTCACCTCCAGGGAGCTATAAATTCCAAGTCCCCGATCTTTCCTCCACAACATATGCTCGCTGAGAGCAACAAGATAGTAACTAACTATCAACCTGAGCTTAGAATCTTGATACTTTGCCTTCTCCTCACATTTTCATTTCAGATACAAAAAAAATCTTAACGTTCGATTTCTAATAAATTAGAGATCGACAGGGAAGAGACAGTGCTCCGGTAAAGAAGCCACTTCAAGGTTAGTAGTAGTATTCAAGAAACAATGTTTCTCACTCTTTGACCTCAAACGAATCTATTGCATGTTATTATGCTTATTAATTAGATCTGTCTTAATAATATTAATTATATAACTAATCCAACAGGGGCGAAGTTTATATAAAAATGAAGCCATGCATGACCAATCTAAGACAAATGATTCAACCAATGTTGAATTTCCAAGGAATATCCGCCGGTTTAAACATGGTCGACGTTCCTTTTTTCCGGCCTAAAGACAAGGTTGTTTTCGTCATGGGAGCCACCGGAACCGGTAAATCTCGTCTAGCCATCGACCTTGCAACTCGTTTCCCGGCGGAGATCGTTAACTCCGACAAGATCCAAGTCTACAAAGGTCTAGACATCGTCACAAACAAAGTCACTCCGGAGGAAAGCCTCGGCGTTCCTCACCACCTCCTCGGCACCGTGGAAAACACTTACGAGGATTTCACGGCGGAGGATTACCAGCGTGAAGCACTCAGAGCCGTAAAATCAATCGTGGAGAGAGACCGTGTCCCCATCATAGCAGGTGGCTCTAATTCTTACATAGAGGCTTTGGTCAACAACTGCGTTGACTTCCGGTTAAGGTACAACTGTTGCTTCTTATGGGTTGATGTTGATAGACCGGTTTTGCACTCGTTCGTCTCGGACCGGGTTGATAAGATGGTCGAGATGGGACTCGTCGACGAGGTTCGCCGCATCTTCGACCCCTCGTCGTCAGATTACTCCGCCGGGATTCGCCGTGCGATCGGAGTTCCAGAGCTGGACGAGTTTCTCCGAGCGGAGAGGCGTGATTATCCACCGGAGACGACGGAGAAGCTTCTTGAGACGGCGATCAAGAAAATCAAGGAGAATAATTGTTTGCTTTCTTGTCGGCAGTATCAGAAGATTAAGAGGCTTTACAAGCAGTGGAAGTGGAACATGCACCGTATAGACGCGACGGAGGTTTTTCTCCGGCGAGGGGAAGAAGCCGACGAGGCTTGGGAGAATATGGTGGCTCGACCTAGCGCACTCGCTGTCGAGAGGTTTCTTAATTACAGCGACGATCACCATTTTAGCAACGCCGATATTATGATACCGGAGATCTCCGCCGTTCCGCCGCTTTCAGCCGCCGTGGCAGCGATTTCCCGGTGAAAAAGGAACTGAGAAATGGAAATGGTGGGAAAAAGGACCTATAAAAATGCCACGTGGCGTGATTGTTGGAAATGGTTTAGAGCTATGACAATGCCACGTGGTTATATTGCTCGCTGTCGGAGAAGATGATCTTTTTTTATTACATAAAAGTGTGTGTGTTACGGTTAAACGGAATCAGTTTTGAGGGACCTGAAGTGCACGCGCGGGGCGGATGCTGACAGGTTATCCTTTTGTTCCGGTATAGTAGTACTTAAAGCTAGGATATGGTGCGGAATAGTGTACGGGTTATACGGTGGATAGCTAGGTTTGTAAGTTAAGACAAAGAAAGAGGTCATTGGTCAACGCGGTTTTGCCCAAAAAAAGAATAAGGATCCAACGGACAAAAGAACGAAGAGTCTTGTTGGACATGGACCCCATCTTTTTGACGGCGGATTGCTGTCCGATATATGTTGGGTCCTACAGTTGTGACATCATGTGGTTAAATAATTCAATGATTATTACTTATATATAATAAAGTGTCTCTGTTTATTAGTATATATGTTTCGGCGGGTTGCTGATGAACTTCGTATGCTGGATAAGATTTACAATTGCGTTATTTGTTAACAAATTAGAAATAAATGTACATCATCAGTTCATGTCCATATGAAAACATTATATTTTCATATAAACGAACTAATATAAAAGAAGAAGTAGATTCTTGTTTGAGTTGATGCCAACCATCCACCGCCACTCCAAAACAAAGAAAAATTGCCCCGTTTACTCAACATGGAGGCATCTTCTCTCATGCCCCTATTTATGGGAATGACTCTAGAGGAATTGCCTCCTCAACATGCTACATGCCTTTGCATTTGTAATATTCATATATGTATGTTTTAGAGACTGGAAATTTTGATCATTTGTATTTGCAAAAAAACTTATGTCGAAATCCAAAATTTTATATAACAAATGATTTCTGGCTTACATCCGCAGTTTCAAAGTTTAACAGTCAAATATATGCAAGCGAGTTACTAGCCTACTACTCTTTTAGTTTTTTTTTTCCTTGTCAAATAGATCTGTATATTCATGGTTGTTGCCTTGTGGGAATGGAGCAGTTTAACTGATAAGGAGTTCCATATACTATAAATATAGATTATGTGGAGCGACATGAAGAATAACTTTGTAAAAAAAAATTCAAAAACAAAAAATAATAACTTTATCAAAAATAATTTATATATCTATATAGCTTATGTATTTTTTTGTTTGTTTCAAGGGATTAGTTAGTCATCAAGGTGCAGTTATATATGTATATCTGCAGTTGGAATACTTATGTCAAATTATCTTTTCTAGGGTTACAAATGTTATATATCGTTACCCTGTTAGCTTTTAATTGCTACGTTCAAAAGTAGGCTAGAGTCATTCCCATAATATGTGTAGTTGAATCAGTTGAGTTGTTGTTTCAAAGAGGTTAGATCTAAGTTAGTTTTTCGTTTGATAAGGAACTTTCATTATTGTCAAAACACGTCTTTGGTTCGGCCAGAGAATTGTACATTCACAGCATAGAAAAATACGTGTCTTCGTTGTAGTGAATTCAATAGACAGAGTCTACCAATACGCGTGAACGTATTACTTCACAAAAAGATTATATTTGTCATTTTTCATAACTAAATTGCGTTTGTTGGAGAGTATAAATATCATAAATTATATAATAATTGGACGAAATGTGGTATATGGATGTCAAAAACTATTCCCATTAGCCAAGTTGCTCAAAACTTTGGAATGCCTCAATTATCAGCTCTTTTCTACACGTTAGATGTATTCGAGTCACAAGCTGTTTTTCATAACATAATAGTTCTTCCAACAATCAACACCATTACTTAATTTATCTTACAGCTTTGTATCAATGCGTGTCGTCAAAGAATAACAACTCAATATCAATGGGCATTGTTGGATTATTTTCATTTTTTCATGTGAATCCATGTGTTTATTCTATGTATATTTTATTCTCATAAAATGTAATTTGACTAACTCAGTTTTGTTTAAGCTAAGTAAAGTATGTTCCACTTCTATGTATTTTCATATCAGTCATTAAAGCTATACTTTATATATGAATTATATATAGAAGAATAATTTAACAAAACAAAAAACTGTACTTTGGAAAGATGCATGCATTAGTCAGTCTAGTCTCATCACCTTTGAAATTAAAGACAAAGTTATGGGAAATGATTAATTAATGATTAATTATATTCATTAGACAAGTTGCAAAATCTTTATTCTCATTTGGTATTGGTGGAAGTATGCACTTATCTGGTAATTTTTATAAACTATCACAATTAGGACAGCTAAAATAGTAACACGAATCTTATTTTCCTATCATTTAAAGAGTTTTTTGAAGAAAAAAATGAGAACAATTCAATCTAGAGATGCATTAACGATATATTAAATATATAATTATACCTTAGCCGTTAAACATACAGTAGTCACTGGATTTAAATATATTTATGTTATTAAAGTTGGCAAATATGTGGCTATATATATTTTTGAGTGGATTAGTTTCATGTTACTAACTCAAAAATAATGACTTCCACAAGATTAAGTGATCTTTTTCTTTAACTGCTACTAGATTATCATCCAACCTCTCAAAAGACGGATATATTTTTTATTCATAATTTTTGAATAGTTTAATTTTTTTTTAAAACATATTTTTTTTCTTTGTAATCATATTATATGAATTTATAAATATGTTAAGCAAAAATAGAACTATTTTAAAAATTAAAAAGTATTTTTAAATTTCAGATTTGTTGTCATATACAGTCTTTTAAAATAGGAGATTAAGTGGTTATTGAAGATGATTACTTTATATATTTATATAAATTAGTGGATTCTAATTTAAAGTGGTGGTTACAAAATATGTATTTAGATGCAGTTAAAAAATAAATGTTAAACTAAACATATATTAATAGATCATATTCCTAATTTAATAGAATAGATATCACGATATAAATTACAAAACTGGTGATTATCTATTTTATAGATCCATACTTTTAGTAGTGTAAATAAAAACGAAGAGAAAATGAGTAATATATATGGCTAAATACTAGTTAATATGAAAAAAAAAATATTATACACTCTTGACTAGATATGAAACAAAACATTCTTAAACTAAAGAACATTTGTATTACTATAGTTTGATGTTTTGCGCTGGTGCAGTTGCGCTGAGCTACTCATAGAACAAAGTTTAGCTACTCTTGCTTGTATCATCTTAAACATTAGTAGGAATTCAAACCTTCACTAGAGCCAGATTCAGTGGCTGAACTAGAGATTAATTTTTGGGGTGTCAAAATACTAGTTATAAAAAATAGTAAAAATAATTACGAGGGTCAAAGCTGAGTTGTATACAAGAAATTCTTTATGTTTTTATATGGGTGGGCCTATTAGGCTGGAATGAAGCCTAACGGATATAGTAATGGGTCAAAAAATTAGGCCCAATCTAACTATACTGAATGATCAAAAGTTCATCATATTATTAAACTTGTGAAATGTTCAATTGTGAACGAAAATGAAGTTGAGAAGGTCAACAAGGGAGAGAAGTGGGAAAGCAGAAAGCTCTTATGTAAACCAATGGTTACCCTTAAAGCTAATGACGGTGGCAACAAAGGCAATAGATTCCTTTTTTTTTTTATATCGACCACTAGATGATATCATAAGCATATATAATTCCCATAAGGTTACAAGCCTTAGATTCAAGCACCAGCCTCCAAAAAGAGATCATCTTTAACAAAGCAAGAATAAAACTTGATTAATATTTGAAACAAGGCCAAGCCTAAGGTCTAATCACCATCCCAACTAAGTAGTTTTCTTCATCTCCAAACATAACACGCATGATTTTAAAACAGGCCATACTATCAATGGCCCACGACCACCTTAGCACTCATATCATTAACTCCTCCTAAGGGAGAATTTTCTAGTTTCTACTATGGCTTCCCTCCCCATTTCTTAAAACACAGGAAATATTTAAATAAGACTCCACTCGTATAATTCTATATTGCATTTGAGCCAAGAGTGTAGATCTATGCACTCAGCTCCTCTATTAACTCGTTCACAAATCTATGAAAAAAAACAAATTCCTCTGTGTTAATGTACTAACTTTATTCCTTGTGAGTTTTGTCAAATTCCTACTACGACCAGTATGTCGGCCACTTTATTCTTGTTCTTGTCTTAAAAAAAAGAACAGTCTTTTTTCTTCAAATGTTTCCGTGTCTAATAAGAGTTTCATCTAATAATAATAACTTTTCTCGTGACTTGCATTATCCCTTATATATTAATTGAGAAACATTTGAAAAGATGTAACCTCAAGTTTGTATTAATTAAAAAGTAACATTGCTTAGTTGTCAATCAATTAGCATATCAATTAAACTGACGTGGCGGCTTTAGGTTCAATTGAAATTTGCTAGGGAAAAATAATTAGAGACGCATATAACGCATGTAACATAGTTTATATATTTATATATATCACACGCATGTAATGGAAGAAAAGGAAAATATACGATTTGATAACGATTTGCATATATTAACTATAATAACTTCATTCCTTTTAATTTATGGAAGTGTATATGTAAAATGGAAAATACTTAAATTCAAATAATCATAACGTAATTTATAAATCATTGGTGTAAAGTTTTATTACACAAATATGCAAATAATCATAAAATCATATGAGTAGAAACCTCATTTAATAAATATCCATATTAAAAGTGTGCTATATTACTATGTTTATATCATTTAAATTTAATTATATATCATATACAATATATAAGATTGATTATTTTGATTTATTTACCCTAATTGTGAATAAACAAGAGTAATAGTTAAATTTATATGCNTGTTTATATCATTTAAATTTAATTATATATCATATACAATATATAAGATTGATTATTTTGATTTATTTACCCTAATTGTGAATAAACAAGAGTAATAGTTAAATTTATATGCATACGCCAATTTGTTACATAATAGTAATTGATTTCTTAGTTATTTAATATATATATATATTTATTATTTTATTATTTATAATATGCATATAAATATAAAATAAATAATAAATATAAAATACTTATTGTGCATAAAGTGCAGATCTTAACCTAAGTATTTATCTGTTTAATTATTTTAAAACTTAAATATTTTCTAAATTTCAGGTCAAAACAAACAAACGAAATGAGAATAAAATTCAAAATAAATATTTATACCGAGTAATAACCAAAATATAAAAAAAACATAGCAA